TAGCACCTATAGTGGTTTAGCTGTGACACTTAGCAGCAGCTACACTGGGTTAGCAGTCAGAGCTAGCTAGCACCTATAGTGGTTTAGCTGTGACATGATGCAGTTGAAAAGAAAGCTTAAAGTAGATTTTAACACATTGAACTTAATGCGGCACACACTCTCACTCAAGTTTTATTTGGATATTTTTCAAGAAAAGTTTAAAGTTTTTTTAAAAGGGAAGTTTTGAAATTCTGATGCCTTTTGTGTCTGAATAATTACACTAACTTAAAATGAAAATTAAGTTATTGCATAATTCAGTAATTTGCCTGAAGAACCCAAGAACAGGTATCAATGTCTGACACTGCCCTATATTATACTCAGCATTTTTATTACTACTACAAGTGGGCTTGCTGTCATTAATGATATCATTATATCTATAAAAGTCACCACTATGTTTAAGCATTAAGAGACACACACTTTCTATACCCATACATTCTATAAATACTGGTTTTAATATCACATTTATCACCTAATCAATAAAAAACTAAACATTTATGTGTTAACAATGGTTCATAACGCCACCTAGTGTCAGTCTTGGAACTCTCAGGGCCAATGCTCAACCTCTAAACCTCCACATGGTCTGCCATCAAGAGACGTCCCTCATCCTCTCCTGCCCCTTGGTTGTGTCTCTCACACACATGCACCGTTTAGCCATTTTAAAATGAGGGGTCCGTCAACATAAGCTCCTCAGCATGTCAGAATCTTACAGACATGTTTGTCTGTGTTTCACTGCCTGTGTCCACTGAATATAATAAATTCATTCTTTTTATGTGTAGCTGAACTGATGGAAAACATGGATAAGAAAGCAACCTGGGACCGTTTCTACACTGAGAACAACAGTCGGACACCCACCTTCAAAAACTTTGAGTGGTTCTTTGGCTTTGAATCCGTGCGGGACTTCATTATGCCCCTCTTGCAGCGCAAGTGTGATCCAGATGCTCCGCTCCATGTACTGGATGTGGGCTGTGGCACTTCAGCTCTCGGGCCTTGTATTTACAGACACTCTCCTGTGCCGGTGCAGGTCACCTGTGCTGACATATCCCCCGTAGCTGTACGACTCATGAAGGAGCAAGTTCAAGCGAAAGCATTTCAACCTCACAGTGTTTCTTCTCAGCTTGAGTTTGTGGAGCTGGACTGCACACATCTTCACAAGCACTTTGGTTCTAGCAGCTTGGACCTGATCATCGACAAGGGCACCATAGACGCCTTGTTAAGGTCTAAGGAAGGGAAGGGGAAGGCCGGCCTGGTGCTGAGGCAATGTTTGAAGGTGTTGCGGAGCTCGGGATCTCTGCTGCAGTTCTCTGATGAGGACCCTGATGCCAGGCTGCTGTGGCTGGAGACTGAGGCCCAGGAGCCGGGGATTATGGCAGCAGATGTTGGTGTGCAGGAGGTTGGAGAATTAAGGGGAATGTATTATTTCTGCTACCAAGTGACTCCTCGCTGTATTAAACAGCAGTAACTTACTACCTGAATGAATAAATCATTGTTAAGAGAACATTTCTTTAGTCCTGACTCGATTATGCCAACTAATTCACAATCTATATGTCTCAACCATGGTCTCAATTCAGCAATACGGTTTTTTGTTGTCCCTGTTTTTACCTGGTATCTGCTGCCATCTAGTGGCCAGTAGACCATCACTTTCAGGATGCAAATAAGTGATCTTGGTGTGCTCATAATGAAAGTAGTCAAAAAGACTCAGGCATGCACACAAACCACTTTATTGTCACGTAGGTTGAGAGAATCAATGTAACTGCCTACTTTTCAGAAGTTTTATCCAGGAAAAATATTAGACTATTGTTCAATTATTATTATAAATCAGTATCATTA